TCAGTATTTTAGCCAAGTTCATCCATAATTTCCAAATTCTTATGAAAGAAGCTTGGCTTCAGCTTCTGTCTACTACAAGTGTGAAGCTGTTCATGTCTAGAGGGGAAAGAATCTTATAGGACTTGATTACCATAAGATTGCCCCCACCACTATGTAAGTGCAGAAGTTAGTTGCTTGAGTAATCAGGCATTTCTTAAGAAATATTTCCTCCTTGGAAGGTCCTTTTTCTGGTTCTTTTTTTTTTTCTCTCATCCTCCCCTCCTTCAGCTTTTAAGTTTTTCTCAAAGCAGGAAGCCATTTCAAACTTTTCCCAATTATTCACTCAAGCACTATAGCAAACTTCTAACAGTCTATACTAAAAAACACACGCTAGGCAAGTGCTCTGCCACTGAGCCACAACCCCAGCTCCACCAGCAGACACTTTAAAATGTTATTATATATTTTTTAGGTGTAGATGGACACAACACAATGCCTTTTTTCAGAAAAATGAGAAATTATATCCCATCTGATTCAAATGTATGATATGTCAAGGTCATTGTACTGTCATGTGTAACTAATTAAAACAAAAAAACTGAAAAAATGTTTATTATTTTGGTAATGTTTTAAAGCTAATACCAGTACCAGAAAAAACTAAAAAGAAAACTTACAAGTCATATCCAGGAGGAAATGGAGAAGTGTTAGTTTCATTTCACAGGTATGCCCTTTTCAAATTCTTATAATATATAGTAGTGGAGAGAGGGAAGGATATTGAAGACTTTATTCATCTTTCTAAGCTTTCACTAATAGCACCCTCTAGTGTCTCCAGGAGAGCTATGCATTGGTTATCAGCTAAGTACAAAAACTGCAGTTGAAACTACTGACAGTACAGATCTCTGTAAATACCAAGCTTTCTCCGATCTCTACATTTTTAGTTTCAGCAGAAGTTTATTTGCTGTTTTTATACCTGTATCAGTTTCAGACTTACTTTCAATTGTGACTAGAGTGCCTCAACACTACAAATTTCTACCAATTAAATACAAAAGCACCCATACTAATATTAGTAAAGATGCTTGGAATTGAAAAAGTCCTTTTGACTTTCAAAGTACTTGCTTATCTTTTATCATTTTTGTATGTCACAATATCGTCCTTATATTTTCCACAACAAATATATGTTTGGTTTTACTCTTCGAAAAATAGAATGATTTTACTTGAGATACAAAGAAGTAAATTCGTAATTAAGATTTTCAGTTTAGGCAGTCCCTATCCCAGTTAAATTTTATATTATCTTTTAACCTTATATAATGCTTTATTTAATAAGTCTTGCAAAGTGACAAGTCTTTAACCTAATATTGGTCATTGTGCTAAGCATTTTAAGTACATTATCTTATTAGAAAGTAAAGGACTAGAGGTCAATTTATCTGTAGTCACACACTTAGAAAGTAGAAGAGCTGAAAGTCTAAAGTCCTTTTCTTAACTATTAGGTACTATAACCTCTACTAATTATAATTATTGTTGATAGTTTAACATAAAACATAAAAAATATATGGAAGTATTTTATCCAGTCTTACCTACTTTCCCAGTAGCAATTATGATCTACTGATTACAACATTTATGCACAATATACACTGCAAGTTGTTATGTACAGCACAAAAATAAAGGAATTTGGTTTAATGCAAAGTTGTATGATGGATAAAATGTACTTGTCATCTATTCCCTTAATGGTATATTCTCTCTGTGTAGGTAAATCACAATCAGATATAGATTGCTTGATAAGAGGTGTTTCAATGTAAGGACAATTGAAATAATGGAATGTTTGATTGGCCTCATCGATCTCATTTTCAAAGTGGTTTTGCCATAGAGATAAAATGTACATGGAAAAGCAGTTCCAATGCTCTTCTCTTTGTGTCTTCCTTTACTAGTACACAATCAATCCTTTTTCAGATTAATACATTATTTCTCAGTTTTAATCTATTTTTACAGGCCTAAAACCATCCTTACTCACTAAGGTTTGTAAAAATCTCTGTTTTGATCCACTATATAATCATATAATGGCCTTTTAGCTTAATTCTAAGAGAGTAGGAAGGTTTCCATGTTTATGGGATATATATTACCATAATTTCACTTTTATGATCATAGCAGAATCAAGGTTCAGATTCCAAATTGGCACATTGAAAAAACAAAATGCAATAAATATCATAGTTATTATATAGTAGTTCAAAAAAACAGATTCTCACAGTTTTTTTCTCTAATTTCAATTTTTAATGCAAAATACATCACACAATCTGATGACCATATGCTGAGAGACAGCAAAATGGACTGGAAATAATATGAGTTTGAATTTCCCAATCTATTTTTATAGCTATAAAATCTTAGGCATTTTACCTAGTCCCTGCATCCTGATTTGCTTAAAAAATGAAACTAATAATATCTACCTCATAAAAATGATTACAAGGATTGATAGGACAATTTATATAATTGCAGGTGGTGCACAAATGCATTCAATAAAGTAAAGTCCTTCTCTCTGTAAGCAGAACAGAGTCTTCATCAGTTCTTTTAGAGTTATAATGCCAAGAGTTTTTGCAAGGTGTTCTGGCTTTTGGCTATTCCATTGCTCATTGGTGCCACCATCAGTCAGAACACAAGAGAAGAGAAAATAAATTTTTTTTTCATTATTTTCAGATGTGGAATTCTGTCAGTCTTTTCAACAAACTGAATTTCTTGAATGATTTTCTAGGTTACTCAGTTCAACTAGTAGAATCGCCTTGGTCCATAAGTAATGATTCTACTCTAGAGAAACCATTTTTTTATTGTGATATACACTTAATATTAAAGGTTGTAGTCTAGGCTACTGAGGAATCTAGATTATCAAGGTCCCTGTAGTTGCATTTAGGATTTATACAGTCTGAATAGAAATGAAAAATCTGTACTATTTAGCTCCACAATTTTGTGCAAATTTCCCAAACACTATGAGCACTTCAGTTTCAGCAAGTGTCATATGGACATAATTCTGTCATAATTATAACTTCAAATTCTTCAGAACAGCCACTGAATACTTCTCTCCCCTTGCCCCAGATTGGGATGAAAATCCTAAGAAATCTACTAATTGGGGTCTAAAGTGGGTGTTGTGAATAATTAGTAGAACTCTTAAAGTAATCATGGTGTGGCTTTACCACACTGGGCTAGATCAGTGATTTTATTTTCTTTGAGTATCTGCCATCCCCTATGACAGAGTCTCATCTAGCCGTGCAAATCCCAATAGTCAGAGCAGCAACCATTTGACAGCTTCTTATTTCATCACCCAGACATTTCTTTGCACCCAAGAAGAAGACAATGCATGTACTAGATACTATGAATAATAGAGGCAGAGTTCAAAGGGGAATAAAATGTAATGTTAAAGTGTCTCCCTAGACCTGTGCAAGCAAATACTTGCTTTTGTTTTATTTCATGCAGACTGCATAGAACTGCAGTGCTGATGTTTCTCCCTGTAGTGGTTTTAGGTGTAAAAGATAATGCTGCAGAAAAAAAAAAGTGATGTGAGGAAAATTTAAACCAAGATTTTAACCTTTAAAAATATCAGAAATTTGAAGGAAGGCAGTTAAGAATATGGAGAGGAACTTGCTGGGGGAGAAGTCATAAAGATTTTCCCTTCAATTAAAAAAACTTTCTGTGAAAAAGCTCTTAGGGAAAATCAACTCATAATAATTAGCAAAATATTTCCTTCTTGATATTCTATCCCTATGAAGATGTCATTTCTCATTCCATTCACTAAGCAATAAATTTTAAAAATGGATCCTGTGCTCGTGGTGTAGAAAACAGTCTACTTTTTTCTCCTTTTATTTCTGGAAAGAAAGTCTCCTTTCAAAATCGAAGCACAGCACCAGAAAAAAAATAAATTTTTCTGCAGGTTAAACACAGAAGATGAATTATTCCCCCCCAAACTCAACACCTTTGGAGAAGGTAATTTAGAGAATTCACCTGTATCGTTCTCTGGCCTCTGGGTCAATTTAAGGATTTGGATAGTGAAACAACAATCAGAGCAGACAAGCTGGACAGGTTTTGATATTGCTGCCCTTGATTCTTGATACTCACCACACATCTGATCCATAATCCATAAACATTGTCCCTAGTAGCTCTTATAGTCTTGGGAAACCTGGCACCCTGATGCCCGCCCTGGTGTCGCCCACTAGGCAGCGAGAGTGTGAGGCAAGCACCAGCCTTAAGCTCTGGGCTGGGTTCCTAACTCTCTTGCATCCTTTCCTACCTTGAAAACGCGCTGTCCACACCCGTGATGATGCCTGTCCCCAGCAGCAAAGCGACCAGACCCCCACCAAAGCATCCCTCAGGCAACATACCTGCATAAGCTCACTCTTACTTCCCTCTGGGGTAGCCAAACGCATATCTCTCCCTCAAATCCCTCTTTTTCACCTCCCGACAATGAATCTGGAAAGGCAACCAAGGTACAGACACCGCTAACAATTGAATACGATATATGCAGAAATAGCCTGTAGGTTCAAACTGCGTCTTTGTCTGGCTCCTGCCCCTACTTCCACTAGTCTGCCTTAAGTATCCTTTGTATGAGAAAATGGTGCGGCCGAGTGCTTGTTCTCTATATGGAGTCAGGGCGAGCAGGGGGATCTTGAGAAAAGCACACAAAACAGAAAAAAATCAAACTTCTGTAAGATAATGTCAATGAGTGAAACTTAAAGGGATGACTAAGAGAGCAATGAGTGGAGGACTGAGGAGAGCAATGAAAGTCCTCGTTTTTTGCTCCTGAAAGCATGTTCCCTGAAAGCGGCGCATTTTTTTCCCAGCAGCTCGTCCCACACGCGAGTGTGCCACCAGCACGCATTCCGCCTTTTTCCCAGGGCAGCGAGCAGTAACTTCCTAAGCTTACCTCTATCTCGCCCCCGCCCGTCTCCCTAGGTTCTCCGTCAGCCAGGAGGGGCCGCCTCCAGAGCGACGGGGGATGTTGGGTGCTGGGAGTGGGGGCCAGAGGGGGGTACCCGGCAGTTGGTGCTGCGCCATCCCCTCCCAGCAGGCGGCCCGGGCACTGGTTCACTTTTTCCTCCCCACTCCTTCCACTCGCTCACCCCCTTTCCTTCCCCCTTCTCCCCCTCTGTATAGTCCCACCCCCTCGCCAATAAAAAGGGCTGGCTCGGCTCTGGCTCCTTGCAGTCGGCGAACTGTCAGGGCGGGAGGATCCGTGAGCCTGAGCAGCACTCAGCGGCCCGCGCGGCAAAGCAGAAGGCAAGCCTAACAGAGTGCACTGAGTGGCAGTGGCAGCGGTGGCACAGGCAGCCCAGGCAGTCCGGGCAGCCCAAACAGCTTCAGAAACAACCTCTACTACTCCAGCTGCTCCGCGGACTGCGAGCTGTGGCGGTAGAGCCCGCTACAGCAATCGCAGTCTCCGTGGAGCGGGCGGAAGCCTTTTCTCTCTTTCGTTAACCTCTTCATTCTACTCAAAAGGCGTCGTTCACTGGGTAAGTATTCTGTCTGGGTGCCAGAACAGACTGCGGCCGGGGAGGCATGACATGTCCCGCATTTAGTGCGTGGAGATTGCCTGCTGCCTATGCTTGGGATCTGGACTATGCGCACAGGGTGGTTTCAAAGATGCTACTGGTGTCCTCGCTTCCCCCTTTTCCCCTTCTCTTCCCTAGAGGTAAGAGAAAGAGCAAATCCAGTAGGTGAGCTCAGAAAGAATCTTTTTTTGGCACTGCCGCGCTTGGTTTAGTTACTTTGTGAAAACTCTTACTTGTGTCAGAAAAGTGTCCACACATTAATTTCCCAGCATTGGCTGTGCAAAAACGTCTTTCACTTTAACAGATATGGCCAGTTTCCGCTTGGCTGAATGAAACTCTAAGATTGGGGCAGGTGCCTAGAAAAGATCGCTCCCCAGAGCCTGGGGAGGGGTCCGAGCTGAAGGGCATTGCCCTTCAGCTTGGCATCAGCCTCGTACTTTGCCAGGCCAGCCCCGTTGCGCTCCTTTCTCTGGGCGCTTGGGTTTGGATCCCTTACACACTGGCCCTAACCCTTGGGTATGCGACCCTTGGCGCAGAGCTAAAGAGTTCTGCATACCATGTGGCACACAGGATCCCTCTGACCATTCCTTCTGGTGCTCACCTCCTGGCCCTTCCTTCCCGCCCTACTTGCAAGGCTGTGCTCACCTGCTGGATATGGAGAGGGTAGGTGTGGAAATTTCTGCCTCTTATTTCTAAAGCAACTTCTTATATTTGCATCCCTGAAAAACGGCGTACTGTTTCCATTTTTTTTTTAATGAGTGTAGCTGAACCATAAAGGGTTCCTCTTTCTCTGAAGTAATGACTTGTATTCTATTAGCCAAAAACTCCCACCTATCCCATAAACATGATGTTTTCTAAGAGACCCGAAAAACTGTTTCTCTCTCCACAAAGGGGTTTCCAGAAGCTTGTAGCCAAAAAACGTCTCCTTTTCTCTCTCTCTCTCTCTCTCTC